AAGCAATGAATCCTTATTTCATTATATCCTTAGTTAAACAGGCATTTTTATGTAATATACTTATCTAAAGATTTTGTTACTTTATCCATACATTTTGAAGATAAAAAGTATATAGATAAATAAACAAAATAAATTTCAAAGAAATTAGATATCATACCTGTTTTGAAAAATACTCGATGGTCCGATGAGACGTCTAAAAATGTTCCAAGCCATCGTGCATTCGATCACAATTGTATTTGCAGTCTAAAAAGTGTGGAGTTACATTAAGAACCATTTGACACGTAACAAAAATACATAGCAAGATACATCTAAAAATTACTATTTTTTAACTTTGCTAAGAAATAACTGGATCTTCCGCATAAAAAGATAGAGAAATAAAGCAAAGTTACATCCTCTACCTCAACGAAAGAGCAAAAGTCTTACATTAACGACGTTTGTTTTGCCACGTGTTCGTGGCACAATTTCCTACCGCATGAAAGATGATATATTCATCATAAAAAATCTTTTTTAACTTATACATATCCATACATTCCACACATCACAAAAGGTCTTGTTTTCTATTGCTGAACTGGTTGCACTACGTCAGAGTTTATCTTTGTTACTCCACATTGGAAGAAAAAAGATAAACTCTGAACTAGTGCAGTTCAGCAATAGAAAAAATGTACGCGAGTAATCCGCCACTGGAATTTTATCGATAAATTTTGTTGTATTTCTGTCAATAATATTGTACATTTTGCCATAAATTCATTCTGCTATTAAATTTGTAGCAAACACTTGCCAGAATCTGTTTTCAATACCATATTTTAATCGTGTGTGGTGCATATTAGAGGTTAAGTAAAATAATAAAGATAAACGAAGCGAGAAAGAAGAATGGACATCGTGTGTTCAGATTTATTTATCTATATCTATCGAACATGCTGTTCGCACGTAATTTGCACCTCGCGATTTATGACAGATGCTGCCTTCTTCTTCTTTTATTTATTTATTATGGCACCTGCCCTCGGTGAGGGGCGAGTCGGCGCGAGAGTCCAAAGTCCAAGATGCTTGCCTCCTCACATCTGAACTTTCTGCACTAGTGCGGGAAATGTGCACTGAAACAGTTTTTATCTATCGCTAATCGCTACACCTATTATTCTATACATTACTGCATTGAGAATAATATATCTTTTGAATTTTTTATTTAAATCATCTTTTTAATAATGTATCTTGTAACTGAATTTCCTTGTATATGAATATAAATTTCTTTTAACTTTATTTAAAAGCTTTACATTCTATAAAATATACGTCCTTTGTATCTTACATAAAATCTTCAGATCTTAATTGTGAATATAGTCCCAAGCTAATAATGGACTCGTTATACAACAACGTGTTTCAAATATGTGAAAATCTACAATCGTTTCAAATATCGTTCGAAATGAATTCTTAAAAATCTTAAATAAACTCGTCGAAAATTTTTGAAAGAAAAATTTAGATGCCCATTACTAACTTAAGTAAAACCGGTATTAGATATTTCTCCCGCAAAATTAATTTAACACGTGTCCAAGAGCTAAAATTTACACCTGTGGGATACTCGTACGTATTCGCAGACCATGCATATCTTTGATTTCTTCCTTGAGAACCTGCAATAACACAGATATTGATTACAAGATAATACATATATTTTACCGATTATATTGATTATAACATGTCTAATTATAGCTTTTCTAGGAAGAAATTGTATCAAGCTTTACCTCGTTAATAATTCGATGCTGTTTTACCGTATTCAGTCCTTTGAACTCTGGAGCAACGACATTTATGTCAAACATAGCACCGCATCCTCCTAGGATACAATTGTAATTATGTCAATCATTAAATATATTCTTCAAGGAACCTTTTCTCTCCTTAAAGAGTACCCACAAATAATTTTTACCTGATACGTCGGTAACTTCAATCAGCTGAGCTTGTGGAAACCTGTTCCTCAAGATGGATATCATTTTCTGCTCGGCGTGCTTACCCGCAAGCACGCCATTGGATCCGTTCCATAGCCGAGATAGCAGCTGCAACAGTTTGGTTTTATTCGCCTTTTTCATTACGGTCTTCTTTAGTCTCATCGCTTATCTATAGCATGCGAAATATTGCTCAAGAGAACTAAGTAACATTTTTCTTTTATTTATCTATTTATAAGAACATTATTGGTATTTATCTGTAAATACTAAATTTAATAATTATATAAACATTACAGATTACATTTAATAATAAATTTATATTTCATAAATATATAGGTATATTTAATATTAAATATTCCTTTCCCAGACAATTAAATAAGAAGTTAACGAATCAGATAAACATTCAGTTTAAGGGACTCAACTTAAATTTTACGACCGATACACTCATTATTTTTATCAAAATCTAAGGTGAATTCCTTAAATTAAATATTTACCACAAATCATATGTAACTGGAAATTTTGCTGAGAGAGCACGTCTTTATTAATTTTTTATATTTTATTATTTATTATTTATATTAATCGCCGACTGACACTGAGAGTTGATTGAGGTTTATCGCCCTGGGAAAATCCGGATCCAAGATACACGTGCTGTCGGCTTACCGATATACTGCGCGAGCTCGACGTGAACGCACGTCGAAACATAGCCGAATTAAGTCGTGACCTCCGTTTATTCCTTCTCGAGGCCTGATCGTCCCCAGGTCTTTTTCTGTTGAATATGATCGCGAAAATCGACGCCAAAATACCGCCCGATATCACCTGATAACGCCGCGCCGCGCCGGTCGGTTCGGACCTAACCCCTAACCTCGACCTCCTCCCTCCTCCCTCCTCTACTCGCACGTGGTCAGGTTAGGTTAGATTAGCGCCGATCAGCTGATTTCTGATTACTCACGAACGTCGCAATCAAAGATCGACCAAAATACATATCTACCATCTGATTACGCAGCTGGTCATTTTTGCGTTTGTTTTTTTGTCTTGAATATACAGCTATCTTTTTTCTTTTTATTAAATCAATAATTTAGATTATAGAAGGTAAATAGAATGCAGAGGAATGTTAGAGAGATCGAATCGTACATCGACAATATAATAATTAAACCAGAGAGAAACCTGAGAGAGGCCATCCCGGTCTTTTTCGTGTGTTGCTGTGTTGCATTTTCCGACGCGCCGCCTGAGAAAGTGCAACTCAACTACGTCGTATCGCTCGGTAACCGCACATGGTTTGCGTCCGTG